ATTCGAATAACAAATTATTCCTCTATTAAGTTATTAAGTTATTTCCAGCTCAAGAACAAGCTACTTGGGTTATGGTCATAATGGTTGTGAAAAGGTCAGACGAGGAAAAAGAGCAAAGAGAAGAGAAAAAGGAGAGAAAAAATAACATGAAACATATTCACTAAATCTTATGTTCTGTGATACAGCACAATGAGGTTGTGATTATTGTAAGATCTCTGTTTCATTTGTTTAAGCAGTTAAGGTAATTGCTAAGGGTCTAGAAATGTGCTTCACTTTGCCTGCCTGGGATAGTAATCCATCCTCTTTTTTTATAATCCCTACTGCTTGTTTACAGCAGCAACAGGGCTATGCTCTCTCTGAATAAAAACAAAAGGCACACAACCATTTATCATCCACATCCTTTGACCAATTTCTGTCAGCGGAGACCATCACAAGTTGCTTTTGTGCAAATTACACATTTAGAAAGTGATTTTAAAACATTCATTGAATCCACAGTGTCATCATTTCCAGAAAATCCCAGGACCAGAGACTCCAGGGGGTTTCCGGCTCAAAATTAGCACATGAATTGGTTTGTGTGGTAGCCTTATTAGAAGGACTGCTAAAAGAAGGATTTCCACTGACTGCACTTTACTGAGGCTTACCCTCACCCCCTACCAACATTTTTGGCACTATAAAATACTTAAACATGTTTTTTTTTTTTTACATATTATGTAATAATTGTATTTTGTGAAAATGTGAAAATTGAACATGTCTCACAATATATACTGGCACCTCTATATTGCCTGTAGAGATTTTCTGTATCAGAATTGTTATGTGACATTAGATTCCCTCATTAAACTCATTTAGAAGTGTGCAGAAGTCAGACAGTGTATCCAGATGGTCATAATGACAAAGGTAAGCACATCATCTCAGTTTGTTTTTTAGCTGTGACAGTGAAAAAGATAGGGATGCAACACAAGCTGTGTGTGCTTTAGTGTGTTGTTTGCATAGAGTTAACTGGTATATGGTAAAATATCATTTTGCTTGTTTTTTTCAGTTTCAATGAAAATTTGTTATTTTTGTTTTATGCTCTTCTAGACCTCCCCAAATATTATTTTCAGGGTTATTAAACATTTAACATTAAAAAACATATGACACGAAATAAATTAAGAATAAACTGTGCACCATTATGCCTGTTACTGGCTTACTAAAGGGTCCTTTACTCCCATGTGTTTTGTCTAATTATCTAAAAATCAAGTTCAGTACATCTAGCCTGTTAAAGATGACAACATAAGGGGCTTTACGGCCCTCATTTACAGACTATTCACATAGAGAAAGGGAGTTTGAAGTGAGGAATGAATATTAGATTAAAGGCAGTGAAACAAATGAAAGAAAACTACAGATTCTATAAATAGGTGCCCTTTCATTTCAAAGAGTACGAGGTTGCTACTTCATTTACCATGAAGGTCTTCATTCAGGCACCACGCTTTCAGAGGAGCAGATGGTGTCCTGTCTGGTATTATAGGGGTCACAGCTTAAAAATCTAAGAGACGGGGCTTGAATAAACTACTTCAATGCCAATGCCTCCTCCCACTTCCACCAGTGAAGAGTTTGATTAAAATTTCAAATCTAATTAAATGCTGTTTTGCAACCAAAACCTGTCTTTCTGTCTCTGTCTCTCATCTACAATAATCAACCCTAGCCCTCACAAGAAAAAATAGGAAGCACTCAGACAACCTTGTGACATAAATCTGATGGCGGTAATTACCAAAACAACCAAAATAATAAAGCACTGGTGAGATAAAGAGCAAAACAACCCCACAAGAGCTGTTACAAGCACAAACAGCTGGGCCAAAGTGTCAAACACATTACTCCCCCTCCACACCAGGTTGAATGGGGGAGGGGGGGGGCATTGAAACCAGAGAGTCAGCCAAAACTACTTTCATGATCACCATTTACAAAATCTAAGGTTTGATGTGGTTGTCTTTACCTCACAGAAAGAAGATCTTGCTTGTTGTCTCTCATCATCTTCACAAGAATTAACCCAACGTGATGCCATCATTCAACTTCACTTAAAATCGTGTTATCCGTGAACGCCCACATCGAACACACAGCTCCAGCAGGATGCAACAAAATATGTTATGCTCCACTTTGTCCAATTTATACCTCCATTCTTGCTTGATTATTTAGTCCATCTGTAGGAGAGAGGGGGGTAGAGATGTTGTTACAGCATATTTTATTGTTTAATAACAGGCACATTTGTGAATTAACTGCTTAGATATGGCATCTCACACTGTTCAAGAGTCTGTCAAACAACATGACTCAATACCTCAGTTGTTTAAGGCACATAATAGCAGACCATCCGTGTTTAATTTTGGACAATCAACATTATGCAACAGGTCCTAATGCTATTTTCTACCTGGTGTTTTTGTGCCTTGTCTTAACAAAGTTTTACACTCAGACAAGCTGACTTGGTATAATAATACATATAACATATAGCACAGTTTGATCAAATGTTAGTTAACAAAGTTGCGAACTGTTGCAAAAGTAGTCCAAACAAAATGTACACAGAACTGAGTAAGTTTTTCACACATGTAGAAGACAGTGATGTGACACATGACATCATCGCCGCATTATTCATGCAACAACAATTTGGGCTTGTTGTCATCAGCTTGAAACAACAACGTGGATAGTCAACACTGCATAATGAATGACCAGCAACAAGTGGACTACAGACGGGAGGCAGGGCAAAATAAACGTCCGTCACATTTAAAATTGTTATAACAAACCAATGAACCGGGGTTACACAGTTCATTTCGCTTAAGTTCACTATATTGTTTGTATTTCAATAATGAAACCACAGGGTTTGTGACTTCGAGAGGGTGAATTTAAATTCCTCTTTTTTGAGATCGATGGTCAACTGAGGCACGAACAGAGCGTGGCGAGCTGTTGTTCTCCACCGACCAAATAAAGTAGCTTTTTTCTTTGTTATTTTAATGAAACACCAGCACAAAAAAGTCGAAAGGGGGACATGGGACGTTGTAGGCACTCTCCACGTCATATACTTTGTGAACGTCGCCTGTAAAGCATGTAAAGTAGGCAAAAGCAACAACCAAACCAACTGCGGCAACAGGCTGCTAACGCTGCGGTTAGCATCCATGCTAACGGCTAGAGTTTAAACAAAGTTACCTGTGTAGTTGAGAAGCGTCAGTACAGGCGGGCAACGGCGGCGACGGTTGTCCATAAAAGCGAATAGACAAAGTAAAAACATAGCGTGGGAGCTTCAAGGTAGTCAGGCGTTGTCATAATTTAATATATTTTGAGTACAAACGGCTTCCCGGTGATTATTCCGATCCCACTCAGGGGTGGCGCATGGTGCAGTTTGGTAGCTGGAATTTTTTGCTTACAGCGTTCCCGACGCTCTGGGAGTCCACCTTCGGGCAACAGGACACTCTGAGCCAATCAGAGGCGGCGTTGTATTTTTGACGGGACCAATCAGTTGCCAGTTTACAAAAAGTCGCCGCTGCTCTGGTAAAAGGTGGTTTTTTTTTTTTTTTTACGTTCAACGTTAGAGAGCACCGAGTCACTCTCAGAAGAAGCAAGTGGAGGCAACATATACTCACCGAGTAGGGTTTTCAGTTCTGAGTTTTCACAACACTACCCACTTTCGTTTCACATACACAACAACGCTTAACTGGGGGTCACATGTCCTGGTTCAATGTGAGGTCGAGCAGGGCTGGCATGTGGATGGCGGTGGATGAGGAATGTGAGTTCACACATACCACACGGCATATAATCTTTGCTCTCATCGTGCTGCCATTATATACTCATCAGAGCAGATAATTCCTATTACATGCTTAACGCCGATACACCTGTACTACACACGCAGTCTGAAACAGACTGGGGCATTAGACTAAGATAAATGCTCAGATTCTCAGGCCCCTGACAAATGTCCCCTTTATTCCTCTCCAACATAAGGGGCCACCTGTTCTTGGGATTGGCAGCTTTTGTTGCAGAGGTCAGTTTAGGGAGGAGACTTTCACAAAGCTGTCCTGTCCTGCCAGTTCTACTTTCAGTGTCTGGACTGTGGATATAAGCCTAGAAAAATAAACAAAGTAGCCAACATTTAACCACTGTACCTCTTTGTACAATTTTGAGATACTTGTACTTTACTTGAGTGTTTCTATTTGTGCTACTTTACAGCTATTTGCAGGGTAAGATTTCACAAACAAAATATATGATCAGCTAATAAAAATGCAGGATTTTTACATGTAATGTAGTACTTTTATACTGCTGTATTGTTTACTTTAGTAAAAGATCTGAATACTTCTTCCTCTCCTGTCAGTATTGACTAAAATGGTAATAATGTAATCCTTTTGTAGTTTTTCAGGACATTATTCTTGGAGCTAAGCTCTGTTAAAGGTCAGAGAGTCAAGTCACTGTGATCCCCAGCAGACCTCAGAGCCAAGAGAAAAACGGTTTTGCCTCACAGAAAGACTCGGAGTCATATGTCAGGTGTGTACAAAGAGCACAACAGCTCAACACAACAAACTCTCTTTTGTTCCTTTTACTAGTTCATTTACACATAACCAAGTTCTTTTTTAACCTAACAATGGTAACCTGATGTTTCAGGATGCGGCTTTGGCCTTAAATTCAGATAGAAACAATCACAAACCAGTTAAGAAAAGAGTTTTTGTGGGACAATTGAGGAGTCTATGAAGGAGCCAGTTTTCTGTAACAACAGGATCATCAATACAAAATCCCAGCAGCGTAACACCCGGTAATTCCATAAAACATGCTGTACATAAAAACAAATGATTATAACACTCTATTCAACAGGCTTCAATAACCCAAAGCCCTCCTTTGTATATCATAGGCCTGAGAAAAACATTATGTACACAAGGTTTTTTTTTTTATCTTGTGAACTCTGCAAAGAAACCACTTTAAACAAATTCTAAACTAAATGCATTTTGTGAATCAACAGAGAATGTGAGAATAATGCAGTGATAGATAACACTTAACAATGTTAAAAATACTTTATTGTATGTTAAATAAAAAAAACTAACTGACCAGAGCACCCTTCTACACCTCAAATGCTACAGAGACAGAGGTAGTTAATGCACTTAGTGTTTCGAGCTCTACTTTGTTTGCCCCTGAGCATTAAAGTGACAGCAGGAGACCTACCCAATGAAATGTCAAAATGGCAATGTGAAGAAAATTATGTCACTAATTTCCTAACAAAAGACAACTCCTTTGATTTTAAAAGGAGGTAACACCTTGTTTCCACTGTTAACTCATCACACAGTGGCCTAAAATAAATCTATTGCATTCGTACATGTCATGATTATCAAGTCCTTTGCATTGACTACAAAAAGAAGGTGAGACTGTGATGGCATTTGCATTGGAAACAAGCACACTAACCATAGCATTGAACGTATTACATGCGAGTCAGTGTTGTAAACCTAAAATATGAGGCTGCAGCTTTAAAACGTACTTGCTTTGCTAAAATCAGTTAAATGTCATTGTCTAAAACTGATAAACATTTCAGAGGAGGAATGTTATAACAAAACAGGGATGTTTGAGATCAAATGTCACCGATAGCAGCTGTAAGTGTGTGGCATCTCGAGGAAAATGTTTAGGGTTGCTCCGTGATGACATCTGTGTGACAGTCGCCTCTTTTGCAGTCCTCTCTTTAAATCTTGTATTTCATCTTCCCACTTTCGCTGATCACACAGATATGCTAAAAATGGGGAAGACAAACAACAGTCAAAATGGAGGATAAGAGCGAATTGTACAATATTCAATGCAAAAAGAAATAAATGATTTGAGGCATGACAGTCAGTGCTTTCAGACACTTATTGTGAGTCACTGAGTCACTCAAAAAGGCACTGACTTACATTGAGGTCTCTAAAATACTCATTGTAGTCTAAGGCATACCCGACCACAAAACGATTGGGTATCTCAAAGCCGACATCTGAAATCAAAGACAAAGAGCAACATTACTTGCAAGTTTTTTTTTCCACAGCCCACTGACTCACTGACTAACAAGCTGCAACAATTGTTTTAAATGTGAACCAACTACTGACTCAAAAACATAAAAGGGGTGGTCAAGTACATACAGTCAGGAAGACATGCTGAGTTGTGTGGCACTCTCTTCACAAGCAATCTGGGGAAAACACAAGCAGACATTATTATATGATATCCATTCCTACATGTCGTGTTGTGTCAAGGGGCAGTATTCATTTGAAAAGAATAGCACCTGAAACCTTTTTCTCTTTGTCTCTCTTTCTCTGTCTAGACTGGAAAGTGGAAATAATGATTCACAAAGCAAGACAACTGGGCTGGTTTTGATGCCTGTACAGCCATAACTTACCCTGCTACTTTGATCATTTTGGGCCTGAAGGCTTCAACATGCTTCAGGAGAGTTTTCATTGTCTTTCCAGTGCCTACAATGGCCTGTAAAGGAAAGATAGAAAAACTGGACTGAGAAAGCAGGAGAATGCCAATGAGGAAATGGGGACAAAAAAAAAAAAAAAAAAAAAAAAAAAAAAAAAAAAAAAAAAAAGATTCATTTTTTACAAGTTGGTCACACTGTACTCACATTACATAACTGTTTGAGCGTTCTCTAAAAAAATACTTAAAGTGAAAAAGGGATCTTAAAACCAACATGTGAAGTTTTACCCAAAATGACTTTTTGCATCAGGAAGAGGGAAAACTTAGTGGTGGATTGAAACCACAGAAATATGCTCTATCATGTTTGTCACATAGATAAAGGTCAACATGCCCTACATACAGAATGGACTGTCCTTACACACTTACACTTAACATTTTTCAGTAGTGAATGGATATGAACCATGTAAAAATAGGTTTGATTTTGCCTTTCATTTTCAATTCTGTTCTCAGCAATTTCTTTGCCTCAAGTAGAGAACTGTAAATTAATAATAATTGAAAGATATTCCACACATAAACCTGCCTTATATATATGGGCACCATTTTAGAACCAGTTAGTATTCCTGTGCTCTACCCTATGTCCCACTGAAACATTGTTGTTCTCTTTTTTTTACATTATGCAGAGAAAATGTTTTGATAAAAAGCACCCCAATTTTGACGTGTAGTTCTTGCCCATTCAAATACAGATAAGTTTAATACCTCCATCAAAAGCTAAAAAATTACAATTTAGTATTATTTTGGAGTGGGGTCTCTGTCATCTGATGAAATATTCACTCTCTACTTTGGTTTCTTGAGAGATATATCTGGCTCTTTGGCTGCTCCGACCAGCTAGTCACTCCTGTTTGGTGCTGGGCATGTAGCAGAGTGGGTTTATCAGAGCTTTTTTAGCCGAAATCGGCCGCCTCCTGCTGTCAAGAATGATGTAGAGAGAATGAACTGAAACAGTCCTGGTGCAAGGCTGTGGAACCAAAATAATGAGCTGAAAGATGCTAAAGAGCTCCATAGCAGTGTCGAGTGAAAATTATCTGTGGGTTCATCACAATGAGCAACCGCTTTCACATTATATGTAGTAATTGTTATCATAAAAGCTACTATCCAATCCTTCGTAAAAGACACCTGTGATACTGACTAACTAAATAAAGAATCAAAGAAACACTATAGTCACTTGAAAATACAAACTTTCTTATTGCAATAGTGGCCACAGTCAAAAATGACTACAAGGACATATTCACAGATGTTTGAGCACTGACTAATGACTGCAGTTTCAAAATGTTAAATCATGCAATATCTACATACAGTAAGTAATTGTTACTGACTGGCCAATTTCCTTTCCTGTAAATGTCATTTTTTCCCCAGTGCACCTATTCCCTCTACAGGACTAAAGTTTATGATCATATTGGAAAAAACGGCTCTCTTATTTCCCAAATATAGGTCAGCCAATTAAGTTTCCTCATGTTGAACTCAGGTCCTCTACAAGAAAAATGAAAAACTTTAAATGGCTCCTCCTGACCTGGATAACCAACCACGGCAAGAAATATAATAGGCCCATTTGGTGGAGAGGGAAAAATAGAGAAGCAAAAACATGTTTGACTCACCTCCACAATCAGTACGTTCTTATGAGAGTAATGTTGGGGCGGGAAAAGGGGAGAAGAAAACAATCATTCTTGGTTAGAAACATAACAAAGCTACAGTGTCTTCTGTAGTTTTACACACTACACACATTTCACCACAATATGCACAACGTAAAAAATCTATGTAGTTTATGATCTGAACAGCAAAAAATTATACATCCGAAGTAAAAATAAATACATGTACTGCAAGCTTTGTGTTGTAGAGCAACAGAGAAGTAAATGAAAAACAAATGAACATCTATGAGCATCTTACTTTGGAGATATGTAAAGGGAGGAGTGTTGAAACACAGGCTATCAACCGAGCCATACCCAGCCACATTTATTAAAGCAAGAGCTCTATCAGTAAGGCTTTTATTACATTTTATGATATCAGTGATTACGCAAGGAAATGAGCACAGCAGAAAAATGTCAGCCTCATCCAGACTGGAAATCTGTGTTCCTTCAGTCCTGCATTGAATGTCACACTGAAATAGCTGAAATTCTGCAAATGTTTGTCTAATCAACTGGAGACAACTGGGCACTATTTATATAAGGAGACACAATCTAAGCTTCACTTATGTTTAGATAGGTCAAGATAAAAAACTTTAACTGCCGTGTAACTGTTCGAACTTTACTCCACTTCTTAAACAAAGGATTCATCCAAGCATGTAGTCATGCTTTGTTTCGTCCTCATTATTCATACACATTTATCCGGAGTGCAGTAAACCCTGGAGAAATATAAAAAGAATGAACTATAAATTAATGTCCAAGAAAGGGGAAGCTACCGTCTGTTGACCACACTGTAGGGAGGCGAAGGCGTAACTGTGAACTATGTAATATATTCCTTGTCACACAATTAGTTCACTTCTTCCAGCAAAACATTGCAACATTCAGTGACAAACAGACGACAAAATTTAGTTGTACATCACAGGGAGCTCAGGGATTTCACAAGCACACTTTAAATACTGGGAGCAAAGAAGCTGGCAATGACTCAAGCTTACGACCTCATATCCTATTCATGTTTCAGGCATGCCACGCCTGGTTACAGGGCGTATTAGTGTGTGAGTGTGTTTGTGTGTGTGTGTGGGTGTTTGACTGTGAGTGTTCAGATCAGCTGATTTATATTACCTACAAATACACAAGCTACCTTATTACTTCTGTAGTAGTGGCTGAGTAATTCATCCCTGTGCACACAAACACACACACACACACACAGATGCAGATGATGCACAGATGTGTGGAGAGAAAAACGTGCACGCTCGGCAAACAAGCTTTTTTGCATTATTTCATTATGTCTACATTAACATGGACAAAAACTACAAATCTCAACTAATGTGAAATTGTGCACCCCAGTTGTAGGTGACAGTTGTGCTCATAAAGGACGGAAACAATCGATTAATTTAGGAGAGTTCTGTTTTAAATTCTGTTGTATAAGCTGCTGTTGTATGTGTGAAAATAAAAACAAACAAATTGACTAGTCACACACTTGATTAATTATTTAAGTCTTTTTCTTTCAAGCCAAAAGGCCAAACATTCTCTGTGTCCAGTGTCTCAAATGCTGATTTTCTGTGACAGTAAAATGAGGGTCATTGTCAAACAAAGCTAGCAATTTCAAAGCGTCATCTCTGGGCTACATGATGTTGTGAAGCGTATTTTTTCACCATTTAGGATATTTAATGTCCCCATATTTAGATATATTTTATTTTATAGAACAAATAATTAATCGATAAAATAATTGGCAGATTAATCATTTATGAAAATAATCCCTACTTGTTTGGAATCTCATGCTCTGCAGACGCTTCACTTTCAATATTTGTTTTTGTGTCATGTTCTGACTGTTATGTTATGACTCATAAATATGAAGCAAAGTCTGCTTTCTCTTATCAATGAGTTGTGAGAGGTTAAGTCGGAGAGTGATTTTCCGTCTTTCATTTGAATGATTTTTAGTGGCCTAAAGAAAATACAGCAAAAGCAAGGTTTAGAGAAAAGGCTGAAAAAAAGATCACTTTGTATAACAGAATTTTTGTCGTTGGCATTTCCAACACCTTCAGTATCTCTTGACCCCTGAGCATCACTTGTCTACACTGTCTCGTTGAGACACTATCAGAGCTGGGAAACAGCCAGCACATACACACAAACACAGTTCAGTTCGCTGAGGTACTGATTTTGATTACGTGATAACAAGACAAGCAGATGAGCAGTGAGCCTATGAGAACAAGACCACTGTCATCATCCTGATCTACTCTGATAGCAACTCGGCAAATCCTCCCATTTACGCAGATTTTACATTTTGCCTCCACTAAGATAAAGTGGAAGAAGCCTTAAAACAATTATATTACAACATTTGGTATCTGATCACCGCTGCATTTGTCAGTAACTGCCATCTTTGATCTCCTGCACGGAAGCACTGAACCATTTCCTCGGGATGGAGAGATAGATAGCAGGCAAGAGGGAAGGCTGCCCTCTTGAGGCTGCCGTCTATCAGTGCCCACCATCTCTTTGCCATTTGTGTGTGTTTGTTTATTGTAATGGAGCTTATGATGATGTTTTATTGGACTACGATGCTGTTATTTATTAAAAAAGCTGTTTCCAATGATGCAGATAAGAAGAACTGTTACCTTTCCAGCTAAAAATGACAAGTCCTCTGCTCCAACTATGTGAAGATCCTCTGTCGACTGGTCATTCTGCAAAAATAATGATCCAAGAGAAACATGTTTTTTTTTCCATAATGTTTTGATGTGTCAGACAAAGTTGCAATAATATCAGCAAAGAATGCAAAGTACGGAAACATGTGGACCAAATTCTAATTCAAAAGAAGTGTTTTTTTTTACTTTGATACAGTGTCAGATAGAAAGGTATAGCACACGATTTGATGAGATTACATTATTTTGCCTTTCTCTAATATTTCTCATAAAGATTGCCACATTTATGGACAGAAATCATCTCTAAACATGAAACAAATGATGACTTTCAGGTTAAAGTGTATTTCATAGCACAGGACAATCACATAATATCATCAATGTACTCATATCTCAGTGTTTTTCTCGTCTGCTGAGGCTGTGGTGGCCGCATGGAAATAGCATGTTCAAGGCACACTTACACAAAGATACCACTGTCATAATGTTGTATAAAATATAACACACACATCTTCTGACTAAGTCATGGGATTCATCATGACGGATAATAACAATCTTAAGCATGAAGAGTGCCTCTCCATTTTCACACACGACACCTAAGTGAAGTGGTCAGCGTCTGAGGGCTCTCTGTATAGCAGTGGGCAGAGGCTCACCAGGTAGCTCTTCAGACGGATGAAGTGGACCCTCATTGGGATTGTGCGATTGGAGTTGCAGCTAAGAGCCTTGATCCTGTCCACCAGGTCGGCACAGAACTGGTATCCTCCTTTAAGCACGCACAGCACCACGATGTCATGGTCCCCCAGGTCATCCATGATGTTTCGAGCAAGACGTTCTGTCCTGCAAACGATGTAAAAAAAAAAAAAAAAAAAAAATTTAAAATTTCAATAAAGTTTGGTGTAAGGTTAGGTCACAGGCTGAAAACAAGTTTTATGTGCGGTTTTATGCATTTTTTAACAATTTTACTTTGCAACAATTAGCTGTAGCTGTAGATTTACTTAACTACAGCTGGACAAATTTCAATTTTCAATGAATATTATCGTATGAATGTTCTGTGTTGTTGTTTCACATACTAATGTAGGCCTTATGAATGATTCTTAGTAGACCAGCAACAATTAGTCATTCAACAGAAAATTAATCTGCGACTTGGGGTGTAATGATTAAGAATTAGTAAATGGTATTTTCCCTATTTGCTTACATTCCACAGTCAAAACAACTAGTCCTTTAATCCAGAAAATAATCAACAGATTAATCGATAATGATAATCGTAAATTGCAGCCCTTTTTCTGAGCACTTCTAACTAAGAAATTTGTTGTTTTTGTTTGACAAGTCATTCTTTCAGTTCATTGCTTTGGACTTTGATTTGATTATATGTGATTTGGCAAACATGTCCATGATAGGTCACAGTATTGATATTTTCATATTGATTTCAGTGTTATCACCAAGCCCTATACAGCATTTGACTGAATACCAGTGTTGTCTTTTAGATGATGAGTATGATTCATTCAGATTCCCACTAAAATTTCTATACAGTTTCTATTATCAAAATTCTCATAATGTTTCATCATTGTCTGTTTGTAAGTTGTTGTTTGTTTTGTGGGTTTGTTTCAGCTTTGCAACGATCATTTTATATATGATACACCAAAACCCAGTTTTAGAGTATAGAATACACAACATCCCCTAAGTCTTTCCAGAATCTCTCAGATCTGCTAAAAACCACAAACACTTATGAGGAATTGTAACAGAAACATCTGAAGCTCACACAGTGTTTGTTAGACAGCAGGGTTTTTGTAAGAAAACACCCAAAATCAAGAGTCTTCTTCGTTTGTTTTGTGTCGTACCTATCCATAATCACGCCATGTGGAATGACGACACAGTCTAAATCTCCGGAGTAGTGAGCTGGGAAGCTGAAGAGGTCTAAACTGTAGCCTGGCCAGTCATCGTTAATCTGGGAGGGAAAAGATAAACGCAAACATTAGGTCACAGTGGCAAAACACCAGACTAACGTGCAAGCTTCTTGGCTGCGCGAGGTCAGCCTGAGAGACACGCGTGACTCTAAACGAAATCCATCTGTAAGGTGTGCGATGTTGTCTGAATGCGCAACGACCCCCGAGTCTGTGCATCCACGAAGGACTAAACTTTTTTCTGCGCTGTTTGAAAACCATGCAGACACTTGACTTCTTATTTAATTACCACAATGCCGCCGCTTCGCCCATCGTCTGCCATGTTGTTTTCCGCCGACATACACAAAAAAAAGTTCTCTTCCCAGGAAAAAAAAACTGGTACAGCAGGCTTTCAAGGGGATTTGGCACCGTGAGGAGAGAGGAGGAGCATCGTGGTGGAGGAATGTTTCCTCTAACCACCACCAAACTGTTTGCACCCCTCCGTGTACCGTGTCATACAACACTGCTGCCGCCGGGGGCGCTCTAACATAACATTTACTTGTTACTTTGCACAGGGCTGCTGATGCTGCTGCTGCTGCTATGAAGAAGGCGGCCCGCAATTTAATGTTCGTCCAGGGGCCTGTGGGAATAAAAGGGGGTTGAGTTGCAAAATCCATGACAATTATTTATATTTTGATTTGTTTTATATGCAAAATCTTTATTTACACCTACTACCTTAAAACTCTTTCTTGTCAGACTTGTATCAAGAGATCATTCAGTTATCAATATTTGAAAGACAGGAACATATGCCACAATGTTACAATGAGAATTGTCTGCATCACTCACTCACTCACTCACTCACTCACACATAGACAGAATAAGACAGAAAGAGATAAGCAGGACTATGTCATCACCAATACCAGACATAAGGGATGTTTTAGAGTTTTGCAAGGGCAACTGAAAACACAGAAGTGAAAAGCATAATACTGGCAGAATCATTTCATTTCTGTGCCAATGAAAGTGATTGTTTGCTTACTGCAATCACAAAATTCCCAGTAGGCAAAAGGAGAACTTAGACTTTCCACTTCAATTTCACACCTTTGTCACAAGGTTTTTCACGGATGTGTTAACATCGCCATCTTGTGGAGAGAGACAGACACCTCTGGCCCTCCTGTACACTGCTTTTGTTCTGATCAAATCATTTTGTTCCTAATCTCATGTAATATTTCCATATTTTTGACACATAGAGCCTCTTGAACATTCACAAACGTTGCCACACCTTGATTTCCAAAACAAGAGAAAAAAAAGATTTGCAGGCCTGTAATTTAAGAAATCTAGATGCCACACCCAGTCTCACATGCACAACATAATCTGTGTCTGTGTGACAGTGTGTGAATGAGTGAATTCTGGATGAACCACCCAGGGACTCATGTGGTCAGTTAGTCCAGCAGCAGCAGCGGGGTCTGGGCTGTTGTGTCACTGCACATTAGAGCAGTCTGCTGGGCTCTGTTGAGAGGGGGAGACAAGGTGTCTGGGCCACCCACCCATGCTCCTCCACGGCAGCTGTAATTATAAACAGTGGTACAATGACAGCTGGGGAGGCAGATGTCAACAGCAACATTAGATTTCAATCAGCCTGCACAGTGCCATCACCTCAGAGGAATGAGGAGGTGTTGTAACAACACTGCATGATTTTTTGATTTTTTTCTGAAAACAGTTATTCTCTGTACAACTTATTTTAAAAGATGTTTTTGTTTTGCATGATAACGCAGCAGGCATGATGCTGGGATAATCACTGAGAAATGCTCCACAAGCCAGAAGATGTTTTTAGATGAAGTCTTGTCAGATTGTTTTTGATGCCCTCTCTGTTGGTGAGAGCAGGCTGGCTCCTTTGCTGCCCTCAGGGTGCAGGGGAGCAGTCTGGCTTTGGCATTTCACACTCGCTCAACAGTCAAGGCCTGTGACCGTCCGCAGACTTTACCGCCAACTGCTCCCTTATACCCTCGCCCCTGTTGTTTGTCCAATTATGAATATTCACTTGCTGTGAAAGTAATTCTGTCAGACATGTAACTGTCCAGCCAGATAACGTCAGGGGTGTCGTTTGCAGTATTTCAGGGGAGGATCTTACAAAGACATGACAATTCTTCTTTTCTATCAGATTTTGATATTTGAAAAAAAAAGTGTAAGAAGACCTAAATTTTAGTATTTCTTTCTTTCTTTTTTCCCTTTGTGTTTCCAGAATCATTCCTCTGTGCCATAGACCTGCATTGTTAACCGAAAATGGTTAAAAACACATCAATGAGCCACACCATTGCACTGGGCAACATTCATTACCAAGAATAATGGCACTGTAGTTTATTTTGAATTAATCCCACATACACCATCATGCTGCCAACAAGAGCACCAAATTACATTTTTAGGTTTTTTTTTGTTTTTGTTTTTTTTTAGAAATGCATATCTTTATGTTTATTATAAAGATATGCATATTATGCATTATTATAGATTTGCATTGTCAGCAGGAATGAATAGGCTTGGGTCTGAATGCCACAGACAGAAAGTCTGAAAGTGTTGAGAGACAGAACAACACAATTTTTCTTTGTGTCTTTTTGTGGCATTTTTTGACAGTAATGTAAAGAATATCACTAGCATTATCTTTTAATTAAAATGAATAGGTGGGGGAATATATCACTATGGCCATGTGTTGCTGCATGTATTACTTTATAAAACTATTCAGAATGTAAAAAAAAACAGCCTCAGTTTCAGATGGAGGTGGTTTTGAGTAGATTTAATTGGTAGTAAAAGTAAAAAAGAAAAAAAAAAACAGACCACATAAGTCCTAAATTTAAACGCAATGATGAAAGTTGCCAATCTCCCCAAAAAACAAAAACAGTGATGTCTGTCAGTCAACACAAAAAAATGGACAAACACTGTTTTTAAGTGACTTCCTCTCTTTTTTCTTTCTTTGGGTGATGGTAATGTTGCAAAAGACAACATCCTTTCAACGTTACCTAAACCTGATATTAACATAGTGTGTATGTATGTGTTTTTTTTGTGTGTTTGTCTCAGTGCATATACACTATGCTGGACAAGAGCCATTATGGAAGGAAAAATCACGCACAGCTGTAAAAGGGGGGATGTCTGCTGGCGGTCACTAACCTTGGTTGACTTTCAGTTATCACTACAGTGACGGTGATTACCGTCGTGCCACTGTTGCATTCGTGTGATGGTGAGTCTTTGCCCTCTCGTAAACTGCACAAAAAAAAAACTCTGCTGATGTATGGTCTCGCTGTATGACATATCATTTTTAATGTGTTGAAAACCCTTTCCAACAAAGCAAGTCAAGCACAATGGTGCACATAAACACATGTTGAAAGTTCATGAGCTAATTCACGAGAGTAGGAAAGCAAAAAGTAATAGCCTACATTAAGCATAACAATAAAAAAACAACAAAATACAAAAAACAAATAGGCCACACAACATAAAAAGTGTCTATAAACAAGGTTAGACTGCTCAGAAAACACATTATTTGACATAATGACTTGTCCCTTTTTTAGTGCTTAATGGTTAACATTTACAATCTTCATAAATGTTTGATACTGAAAAAAAATCAGTCTGATAGTACTGAGACAAGCATGAATTCAAATGTCTACATTTGTTTTGGTGTCAAGTCTAGGGTAACTAAAGCAGTACCAGCAGAATAACATATTGATTTATATGTAAATAAACACCCAGAAGAGGACACGATTCAACAAAATGTGGAACGTAACATTATCTTTACATTTACAAGTGTCCTCAGCTGAGCAGCAGTTCAGGTGCATCCAGATGCGTCTTTCATGGCGATGATCAGTGACTCCATGCTACAGGATCCACTGTGTAAGCACGTAAAACTCTATTAACATAATGACTTCCCTGTTTAAGTGGATTGTGGTTCATGTACTGAAAAACAAACTCAGTTACAGATGTCCTTGACAAACTTTCTTTTTTGTAGAAAGTGATATTTCTTCTCATATTTCTTTCAGTGAGACAGCATCATTCACTTGATTGTAGCACCAGAGCTAAATGACAAAGGATGGTGGATTAAATGAGTGGAAAAAGAAATAATGTTGTTTATATGTGATGAAATTATATATTAAACCTGGCTCCATGTTGACACACTTTCCTTGACAGACATGTTTTGGTTACATCAGCATTTTGGCATTGTCAAAAACCTTTCTTCTGCAGTGGTGATGGTGGAAAAACGATGAAAATATCGTTGAGGATTCAAGTAAATTAAAAACAGAAAAAGACAAAATTCCTGTTTTTCTCATTGCAATTCGGTGACTGTCACTCTACCAATATGCTGTAGAACCAAAACCAACAAGGTGTAAAATAATTAGTTTAAAGTTGATATATCCTCCGTCTTAATGAATGATGTCAAGCTTGTCCGATTTGATGACAAGTATTTATTTATTGTTTTACAGATAACATACTTCACAGGGTTACCTTAGAGGTAAAATCTCCTGACAGAACTCTGTTTTGACTCGTCGGAGACAGAGGGGAAGATGAACATACTTTTATCAAGCACACATTGTAAACAACTGAGCAATATTTAAGTCTAAATGGCGTACCATAGAATAGGTGAGAGACAACAAAATGTAAGTAGGAAGATGTGCCTCTTGCTTGCAAAGACAAAAGTTTCATTTTTACAAAACAAATAATGGTCGCTGACATTTTTTCTACTTTTTTTTTAAGTGGCTGAGAGGTAGAATGAAGTATTTTCAGTTAAAACCAATGATTTGATTTTCATTACTTTATCATATCATTTCATCATAATGAGTGAAAACATTACGAGTGAATAAGTAACCCCAGCCCTCTGAATATAATGTGAAATCTGTACAAATGTTGCCATTGTTCACGGTATTGTTTTGATTTTTATTGTGAAACTCTTTGTTTGTATCCCAAATGTCCAACGTTATAAGCAGAGGAAATATTTTTAATTTTTTTTAGTTAGGATTTCACAGTAACTCTCCAAACCGTGAGACAGTGAATTCCTTTTTTAATACTGTGAATAGCAAGGTCAGTCCATGTTTTTTTGTGTGTGTGTGGATGAGGTGTAGAGATGGATATATTCAGTTGGAAGTATCCGAATGAACGCTTCCGGGTCCTTCTGTGGGCGATGTCACTGACGAAGGAGTCGGAGCATCTTGCCAGCCACCATTTGTCTGTGGAGGTAAGACAGGAAATAGTTAGCTTAATGCTAACATAGTGTACACTCTGATACAACGTGCACATAGAGGTATATTTAATGATAAGGCATTGATATTATTTCATACAAAACACATGAAAAGACCAAATCCAACAATCAATGCTTATTCTTCTGTGCCACAGGCCTCCACTGCTGCCCCAAAAACCTATTAAAAATACATCAATGAGCCGCACTATTCCTTCATTATGATAAACATGGGCACTGTAGTTTATTCAAACCAATCGAACATACACCATCCTGTAGCTGTAAATCCTCACTAGAGCACCAAATGTCCAATCCATGGCTAAAAATAGTCACCAACAAATGTGCTATTTACTCCTATTTAAGTAACATTTCAGTGTCCTTCTGTTTTAGGACAATACTGAGTTATTTCTTATAGAATATCACCATTACTTGAAGGAACAGCTCAACCTTTTAGGAAATACAGTTTCCAGAAGTTTGATGCCACTTTAATGTCTGCACCCTGAATATGAAGCTGGAGCCAGGGCAGTCTTAGCTTAGCACTAAACAAAAGGCAAAAACAAAGAGGGAGACGGCCAGCCTAGCTCTGTCCAAAATGTAAAGAAATCTACTAATTAGCATGGTATATCTCGTTTGTTTGATACCAACAAAAAACTTCATGGTGATGACAAGACTCTTTTGTGTGAATAAAATGAATATTAGTGATCTTTAGAGGTTTTTTTACTTGTGGACAGAACCAAGCTATCTGTCTCCTGGCTCTTGCTTCACATTTAACAGACATATATGAGAGTGGTATTGATGTTCTCAATGAACTCTGAGAGAGCATATATATACAGTATACAGTATCACTGTGGTCAAGTGTTGCTGTATATATTGCTTTTTTTTCTTCAATGTAGAAAAATAGTTTCAAATTTAAATTCAGGGTCAGACTCAGTAGATTTATTCAGTCCTTAAAGTAAAATGAGACCACATAGATACTAAATTCAAATGCAAATATGAAAGCTACCGGGCTTCTTCTCCAACAGCAGTGATGTCCAACAGCTACTTTAACAGTCAACACTAAAAACTGACAAAACACTCTTTTTTCATGAGACTGTTCATTAAAAAATATTCTTGTGCCACTTCCTTCACTTCTCTCTCCAAACGGCTGACATAATGTGAGATAAACAGAAGAGATGAAACACAGAACACGCAGACCTTTCATATATCTCAGAATATACCCCAGAGATGGTTGATAAAAGAATAAATTATCACAATAAAAAAATAGCTCTTTAAAATGGAGGCCTTCTCAAATCATGATAAAAGGTTGACTAAAGACCATTAAGGCCATTAATTGCAATTTCCACGCTATTAGTGAGAGCTGGGAATGTGCTTTGGCAGCCTCTTATTTCCAAACCCTGTTATTTCGCGTAAAGACTGTCTGTCATCTTATTCTTATTCAAACATTTCCAGCCTCTGAGAGAGACAACACCCACCAGCAATTTCAGGGGTGTAATTGCTGTTCAGTGATAAAGAAGGAGAGGTGAACCACAAGAGTTCAGTCAGTAGATCTTAGAAAGAAAAAAAATATCATCTGGGCTCCTAGAAATTTTGTTTTAAGTGTGTTATTACTATAAAAATACTATAAAAGCCTCATATCATCATCAACAACATCCTCTGTAGTTGTTACTTTCATTGTTTATATAAAAATTGAATCATGAAAAGTTAAGTATTCCTACTGGACGATGTGACCCAAAATCTATTTCACAATGAACTATCACACTTTATAGTACAACGATAAGTATAAAGTATTATTTTTAATACATCACTGCCTGATATTTTAATTGCTCACAATGGCTCATTTCTTTTTTAAGGTTTACAGTATAATCACTCAGAGACCTGGACTGGACTTTAGGTTTCTGGTTGTATACCACTGGTTGATGTGGCTATTTTTAGTTTAATTATAGAAATTCAGACAATTTCTTACTGACAAATTACACATTTACCATAAAAATGGATGGGTAGGAACTTCATTAGCCTCATCTTTACCGTTTTCATGTATAACTATTACATTAAAGTCCTCAAAGACTCTTCCAACCATCTGAATGAAAAAATATTCTCTTTGTGCAAAAACAAAAAACGTTTTTTAACCTGGTTCTCAAGTTGCTGTTGCTGTCTAATTTAAGAAGCTGGAAATTAAACTATTTTTTAACATGACCAAAATATTAGTTTATATGAAAATATTAAGTATTGTAAACATGTAGTATATCACTAGTAGTACATCAACATAAACATAGTAAACGTAATAATACATGTTTTACATTTTTAAATTTGGGTTGATGTTTTCAAATTCAGCATTTTTTTTATTATTGTGCATTCAGATGGTTCTAAGAGTCTTTTAAAGCTCACAGGGTTTTTAATTTTTTTGGAAAATTGGATGCTTAGTTCTGTGACTCCCATGTAAAGCTAATAACATGAGAGGCAAACTGGCACTGGAGATTTGTAATTGGTTCATAATGTTGGTAATTCAATACATTTGGTTTAGAGCCACAACCAAATCCCTGCTAGCACTTAGTTTGGAACTTAGTCTTGGCTTTTGCACATTTTATAAAAATATTTTGTCTGCTTTCATTTGTCCCACTGTCTAACACCCCAGCACAGTGTATTGAACACCTATTTCCAGTTGAGCCTGTTGCATGTTGTAACTGGCTTGATACATCCGTTCTTATTTTAGCACAAGGGGTGTTGCAGGCTTGGCTGTCAGTGTCGCTGTTCCTGTGGATGAATGATCTGACCAATGTGCTTGGACTGTTAGCCCAAAGCCCCGCTCTTTCTGTCCCTGTGACTGTCGTATTGATTCTGTTCAGCCCTGCGCAGCCTGTCGCTATGGATCTACATGCTAACACACTGCCTCCAGTGTTGCCTGTCCCACCCTGCCCAGCCCCAGCCCAGCAAGGAGACCTAGAAAACTGGCCCAGCCTTTGACAGGCTAGCTATGGAGTTATTTTAAGAATTAGCAACTGGGAACTTTTTTTTGTGAAGTCAGTCTCGGAGGGGACGAGAGGTATGACTTGTCCTATGGTGCCAATGTGAGAGCAGCGTTGGGAGGGAGGATGACACCTGTGTCCTTGTTCCTGTCGACTGCAGGTGCCTCGCTAACGCTAATATCATCCGACAGACTAGGAGCGTGTCCAGCTACTCAGCCTGGTAGCTGCCTCATTGCCTGCCACCTAGGGCACGACTGGAGCAGGGGGGGCAACTGGCTGGACAACAGCCCAACCCCGGCAAACTCTGCTAAGTGGCATCCCAGCATGCATACAGAATGACACAATATTATACACTTACTGCAACTGGGGAATCGTTGCAAAGTAAGACAGCAAAGAAAACGTTGAGAAGGACAGAAGGAGATTGTTTACAGGTCTTACATTGATGCCCTGTGGACTGTACATCTGGCTGGCTGCGAGGCTGTCACTGTATCCTCCGGTCTGGCTGATAACATGGCGAAGGGTATCCACCTGGAACAGCGGGGACACACAGACAAAAGGCCTGGTCAGACAAAAGCTCTGGATAACAAAGACAGCCATGCACAAAGGAAAGGTCAGTCTGATAGTAAAAGGGTACCATAAACAAGAAAAGGTTACAAACAGCGAATCAGAATGATTTGGCTGCTACTACAAGCTTGATAACAGACATCGCAAAAGGACAAAAATAAAAGAAAAAGGACAAGAACTAATTATGAATGCATTTGTAGTTGTAGTGAAATAATACATCAAAATCAGATGTTAAACACAACGCTCTGCAGCTCATTGTCCTAAATGTAGCTGCACACTCCTGACAATATGACGAAGTTTCACATCCAAAAACATTTACCTGACATGGCTACCAATAAAAATCTGGTGTAACTGAGGTCACATCTTACATTATTTGGTAATAAAAGTTATTACTGGAATACAGCCTTTTCCATGTTCTTCATAGATTCATTGGAAGCTGCTTTGTAGCTTTTGGCAGAGCAGCCAAGCCAGGTGAAAACACACCTGCCATGTGGATTACACAACAAATCAGACTACTCTATTCAAGAGGGCCAATTTAGTCAAAGTTGTACTTTCTCTTTTCTTTTTTTGCCTTCTTTTAATTGTGCACCTCTGGGAGTGAGGCCATTCTGACATGATCAGAAAAATAACCCTTTTAAAGGAACATGAGTTTCAATAATTTAAGGCCAACCCCGAAGACCTCTTTACCTCCTATAATGGTCGTCTCATTTGCATATTCATTAACAACCTAAAGCATTTGGGGAGCTGATGTGAATAGAAAAGCGGGGATGGAAGGATAAAGAAATGATGCCGAAAGCTCTGAAACTAAATGAAAATATAACTGCGGGTGGTGATTCCTCAATCTATGGCGAGAGTTATAACACTCAGAAACACTACGTTGGTCATCACTGTCCACTGGGGCAAGGTCAGGGAGCTACAGTGCACCAGTGGCTATGTGAACTCTTGTCAGAAGCGCTGATGAGTGTTGCACCGTTTCCAAAACTGTCTGCAGTCGTCTACTCAACTGTGGGTTGACAATGGCTTCTACATTAATGTAAAGCTTCAGGCTAAGTGTAACCTCTGTTTCACTGTGTAGGGCAAGTAATTGTGTGCATCTGCACTCACAGACTGGTCAGTGGTTGAACAAAAGTATGAGTGAGCTCAAGAATTTGTGCAAATTTTAGTCATGTCAGACACTAAACTTAGAGAAGCGCCTACCTGGGATTGTATGTTGGCCCCAACCTGCCCCCCTTGGTACGAGTCCCCATTGAGGGACTGCACACTCATGAACAAGTCTCCGGAGTTTGACATGTTAAAAGAGCCAGCAGAACCTGAGAATACACAGAGGCAGAGAAGAAGAAAGAGAGCAAGAGAATAGGAAAAAGAGAAGAGAGAGAGAAAAAAGTAACAGGGAAGAAGATAGGGACAGAAAAGGAGTTAAAATGATCATGCATTAGCAAAAGTGCATTAAGTGAGTTAGTTTGGGAGGGCGGCGGGCAACATGAAAAAGGCTTTTTCTACAAACCTGCATGCTACAGATGCTGTAGGCGCACATTTAAATATCACTGAACCTTAATTTAAAAGGAAAAATCCACCAACAAGAACCATAAGACAGAAAATCATCATAAAACTGTTTAAGTCCACTTAAAACAGGGTTTATGGATTATATTGTTGTTAAATGTCCGTGCTGCTAGTGTTTCATTAAGGAAGTAATAATTGATCTGCAGGAAGACCCAAAGAATTGTCTTCGTCCTTTAATGGACCCCAGCTCCCCAGATGTAAAGAGACCATCACGTAACTTGATTTCAACACCCGGTCCTAATCCAATACAGTTGCGAAGTCTCTATATGACAAAAGACTCCGCTTGCCCTCTGAGCAGCTTAATGGCATGCACGAGGTCAACCGGACAAGAGGCAGGAAAAATTAACGTCCACAAGACCAAGAGGTCAATAACAGAGAGAGGGAGAAAGGGAGAGAGAGAGAGAGAGAGAGAGAGAGAAAGAGAGAAGAGAAAGAAAATGAGTGAGAGAGACTGACAGCAAAGGCAGAGAAGAAAGAGAAAAAACGGAACAAGAAGAAGCAAGAAAGCCGTACCATATAACTGGGTTAGTTAAGGAGAAGGAGGGCTTTCTGTTAGTCTAAATCAGGGGTCCCCAAACTATGGCCCGTGGGGCACCATCCGGCCCGCCAAAGCAATTGGAGTGGCCCACTTAACGATCCCAGACAATCCCTCTAAACATCAACCAATTTTTATTAAATTGCATTTTCCTATCATAACATCATAACATATCCGTACTTAAAGGTTGGCATTCTAATTAAAATTGACCATAGTTATGAGCTATTTATAGTTAATAGTGGCTCATCTTCACCTCCTCACACAATGGTATATTCTGACGTGACTTTGATCGTGACCGAGCCAGCGTCAAGCTGCAAAGTTCTGAGGTGGGAATCTGTCATGAAGGTGGTTGTGTCCTGCATAAACTTCATCAGAGCAAACGGACTTAAACACAGGCAGTTCCAAGCCTTTCTCTCCGAGCTAGAATCAGCCCACGGAGACGTGCTTTACCACACTGAAGTCCGCTGGTTAAGCCGGGGCAGAGTTTTGAAGCGTTTTTACGACCTGCTACCCGAAATCAATGCCTTTCTCCTGACAAAGGGAAAAACTGTCCCAGAGCTGATCGACACAGAATGGAAATGGGACCTCGCCTTTATTAACAGATGTGTCAGAAATTTTAAACGGCCTCAACTTGCAGCTCCAAGGCAAGGGAAAACTAATCTGACATGTATTCCCACATCAAAGTATTTGAGCTTAAACTAGCGCTGCTTATTGGACAGGTGCAAAAACAAGACTTCACCCATCTCCCTGCTACTCGAAGCCTCTCAGCTGGAGAAATCGCGGCGAGTACCGCCGTTTCCACCGATGAAAAGTGCAGGACGCCACTCGGAAACACTGATGGGCGGAGTTCCGGTGTTGCGGTTCCGTGACGCCTGCCATGTCCACTGTTAAAGAAATCCGCACATTCTAGACGCTTTTGCTGCCGACATAAACGACACCCTTGCGCTTCTCTTCCAAATTTGAGCTGGCTGAGTATGCAGACCTGTGATGTGACTGATAAGACTGTATTCCTACGCTCCCCAAAGCTCTATCAAGTAACTCAGCTGGCCCTTCCCAATATGAGTACCTATACCAATAGACAGTCCGCACGACAAGTATGCTCCACAGTTTTTTGGGAGCCCATATATCTGTGTTAGCACACTTTTCTTCCTTCACACATATGAAGTGATTAAAAAATCCGACGAGGTTCAAGGGTCTCAGATCAAACACCTGCGCATCCAGTGCTCACATGGAGACTGGCCTGTAACTGGAATGTGAACCTGACATCTATCCGATGCTCCCTCACCTCAGTCTCAGGGAGCGCAGCCCCCACAGCTCACACTGATTTATGGTTACGCGTCCTACTGCTTTTCAATAGGCTATAAACTCTAGATATTATAAAAAGTCAATAGAAGTAAACTGCTTTTATAAATAAGGCAAAACAACATCGCTCTCTACTTCGTTCTCTGACACTTTCTGTATTATTATTATTTCACTTTACTAGATAAAGACAGAAACTCTACCCGTTTTGTTAACATTCACTGCTAACCTGTTTACAAACATTCACATCACCTCATTCTTACTTGATTACCACATCAAGTTTGCTTATTTTTCTATAAAATAATAGTGGCCAAGTATTCCTGTATCATAAGTACACAATAATGTGAAGACTTTTTATTACTTTTTTTTGCAAATCAACAACGGCCTGGTGCAAGCCAAAACGAAAGCGGCAAGCTACCAAACAATTACCATGTAAAATCTCTCACACATATTTCGTGACTTGGCCCATATCATTTCCTTATAGGACTAACCTCGGCCCCCCATCTCAGAAAGGAAAGTTTGATATGTGGCCCCCACTGCAAAAAAATTTTGGCGACCGCCTGGTGTGGCACCTAGCATATGAGAGAGACCCATGTGCGGCCCTTCGGATAGGGAGCGACTCAGCAAGTGCCTGGGGCTGACATACTGTTTACTCAGCGTGTACAGCCGAGTCCGTAGAAACACCAGCAAATTGTGGACTTTTGACAAAATTTTTCGTCGCCAGCAAGCGGGCCCTCGGAAAGAACGTTTTAAACAAGGCATCCCTTCGAAGGTGAGGCGACTTAGAAGCTGGGGCTGACATTATGTTACTCAATCCGCGGGACGTGAACGAGCCCGAGTCCGTAGACAACCAAATTTGTTGCGACTTTTCGAGAAAAATTTTTTGGAATATAATTTAAAACATCAACAAGAATTTAACCCGTGTCGCCCCGGCCAGCATATTGAAGCAGACCGGCTCATATAGCGGCCTAATCGGCAAGGGGAGCGACTCAGAAGGCTGGGGCTGACCATATGTTACTCGAGGCGTGACGAGCGATGTCCGTAGCATTCCAACTTGTGAATTTTGGACAAATTTTCCGTTGTGACATTGCACATACGTGAGCTTCATAATCGGTGTCGTGACCTCGCAATTCAGCATATGAGAGAAGTATAACCCACTGCGGCGGCCACGCCGCGCGCCCCCTCCTCCGCGGCACAAGCGGCATGAGCCCAGCTTAGCAGAGCTAGCCGCCCGGCGGCACCCCCCTCCGCACACCGGCCATTGCGCCGCAGCAAGCAGAGCTAGCCGCCCGGCGGCCCGCCGGCGCCCCCCCCCGGCATTACCATCAGTTTGTGTTGTTATTTTCTATAAAATAAATGGAGTATCTGTGGTACTTCAAATAAACACATGTGAAGACTTTTTATTACTTTTTTTTGCAAATCAACAGGTGGTGCCAAAGCCAAACGAAGGGCAGCTACAACAAATTATCATTGTAATCTCCACAATAATACTGGTTGTCACCCTGGCCCATATCATTTCCTGTTATAGACTAACCTCGGCCCCCCATCTCAGAAAGGAAAGTTGATGTGGCCCCCACTGAAAAAAGTTTGGGGACCGCTGGTCTAAATGAAACAGCACCAGAGACTGAATTCTTGAGTTGCGACTCAGGTATGAGAGCATCTCTATGTTGTGCTTCTACCTGTTCTGGCATCATAAAATTCTTTACTGATTCTTCTATCCATATAGACCTTGAAGTGAAGCACCTGAATAATTTTTAACCTGGGTGTGAAACTCACCTGCTGAGTTGGGAGTTGATGGGGAGTTTGCCTGACTGCCGTGGGCAGACACGCTGGTTGCATTGACCGCAGTCCTCGCTGCGTACATGTTGGCCTCTTCTTGAAACTTGCCGATGTTTTTCTTGTATCGGATTCTCTTGTTCCCAAACCAGTTTGATACCTGACACGACAATCGGTGACAAGATAAAGTAGCTGAATTATAATTTATTACAAGCTGATTATCTATGCAAGGAAGGCAACAAAAGACAAACTGTACAAATACATTTTGATAGCACCTTTTCATGGAGTGTTAAATATCAACACCCAGCGTATACCTGGATTGTGGTTCAATCAGCACACCAGTTAGCACACCACCTTTTAGCACCAGCTTTTGTGACTGCTGGGACATATTTGTACTTCCACACAGATACACTATGTGCCTAGCAAACCTTGAATCATTGCAGGCTGCATACACACCTTCTGCACATGGCTAATTATTCGTAGTTTTTAGTGTGTGCTATGCAAATTTGGCTCCTTAAAAATGCCTTATTGGATGTGTTGTGTAATATTCCTGTTGCTGAAGCACAAAAATACAATGGAGATCACTCTAATATGTGCTCATTGTGCTCCACATGTTTTTATTTATTTCCTCTCTGGTTATTTAATCTTATACAGATAACCTCTCCAGTCATTTTTATGAGTAGAATTTATATTCATCTCCGTCAGGATGACAATTATCGCACACATATGGTAAGACTTTATGTGAGTTGCTGCTTGGAATGAACCCATAATCAAACTTACAAAAATAAGCATCCGTGATAATTTAAAGGTTATTCAAAGATTCAGATGTTTTAGAAAATAATAGACGAGGCTCTGAAAACTAACTTGTATTGCATAAACACAAAAATATATGTCAAGCATATAACAAGGTTTGGTATCATTATCTAATTAAGTTAGCTGTGTGCATAGCATTGGCTTGTTCATTGTTAATAATAGTTGGTATCAACTGACTAACAAGTGTTAGGATTGGCGTTATTTGTAAAACCCAGCTGATATTCTGTTTATGTTTAGATACTATTACCAACTCCAAATTAAATCGATCTATTTTTATTATTTTTGACCTTTGTTGATTCTGGTTACCTGTGACACTGTGATGCCGCATTTCTTGGCCAGTTCTTCTTTGGCCTCCTCGCTGGGATAGGGGTTACTGAGGTGGGAGTAAAAGTACTCGTTCAGGATCTCTGTCGCCTGTTTGTTGAAGTTCCTCCTCTTTCGTCTGGACAGAAAGTATAAAATATACTTAGTAAATATACTTCATAAACAAATAAATGCAATCACTTCCTCTCTTGCACCTCCATTCAACCAAGATGGCTTAGTTTGACTGAACAGTGCTTAAAAGCTGGTAAAATGAAATAGGAACAAAAACACAAATCTAATTGAAAGGTAAAGACACAATTGGATCCGTCTGACCGATGACAACGAAAATGAAAATAAGGAAAAACTTTTAATGAAGATAGAGTACACTTTGGAGCAAAATACATTAAAACAGAGGGATTGGTTTTGTTGCACCAAGTCACATGGACACACACACAGACACACACACACACACATACACACATACACACACACAGACCTGGCATCGAGGAAGCGTGAGCGCAGGATCATGACGGCCTCGCAGGTGCTCTGTTTCAGCTGCATCTGGATGGAGCTGAACTTGCGGTGGATGATGCTGACCATGCGCTCGATCTCTTTGGGCGAGATGGGTCGTGTTCGAGACTGCTCCCTCAGCAGGTTCATCACATGGGTGGTGAACTCATTGCACGCCTGGACGCACAGACAGACAGGATTCATAAAAAGAATAACTATCACAGAGGCTCGACAGCTTCAGACAGAACAAAAGGATGAAATTGGATTCTGGAGAGGCTGCACCTTCGCTGGTAGGGCTCGGCCTTGTAGAAACAGCGCTGACAGTATAACAGCAGCAGTGTTAGAGGTAATAAGAACAGTCTAAATTAAAGCAGCAGACGCAGCGTGCTGTTTCACGCCAAACAAATATAGTCATACAGTGGAGGCAGCGAGACTCGCAGCGCTGTGAATATTAAAAAGACTTCTCTTCAATGGAAGAGAAAATGTGACAAGTGAGGAGAAATTTAAAATGACAGCAGGCTTTCAGTCCCGTTCACGTTCAAGAGGTTTAAACTGTCTCCCTCTCTTTTCACTCCATCTTTCAGTCTACCTCGTTCTCTCTCTGTCTGAATCAGTCACTGGATATGACTGCATTCAGAGTCAAGGTGTCTGTTGCTTGTCAACACCAGGGTTATGTCAGTCAAAGTGATGCACGGAGCAGCCGTTCTGCTTGCACACACACGCCAGACACTACTCACTCATACACGCGCGAGGTGTACGTAGCGTGGTGACACAAAAATGCTCAGGTGTATATTGACTGTGACAGTTAGTGATGACTAGCCTTCCTCGGAGAAGATGACAAACCCAGAACGTTTTCACTTCCGAGGGAATGACAAGAAGTTACAGTCTTTGGATAAGAGCTGGTGTGTGACTGATATAATGGCTGCTTGCCTGCTGAAGGCAACATCTCTGAAAGCTTGGCTCGTCATGGGTTGACCTGTGAGAGCTGATTTCAAGAGCATTACACTTAGTTAAAAAATATCTCATTCATCCCTTAGACCAGCTTATTCCTATTTAAGGTTCACTCACAAATGGAGCTTATCTCCGCATGAATTGGCCAAAGGAATAGAAATAAAGTCCTGGACACGATGCCAGGTGGTTATGGTGTGAAACACAATTTTCACTTTCTAGGATGGGCAATCCAAAGTCTTAAATTCAATTCAGCTGTTTTTCACCATAGAAGGAAACTATTGAAGGAAAATATAAAGTCTGTACAGAAAGCCATGTCTCAAATTATTCACTTCATTATTTTTACTTTATTCTTTCGTTTTCTTTTTGGTATTCAATGGAAAAAAATAGGGAGAGGTTGGGGTCAGCTATTGAACACTATCCCTACAAGTGAATCTCCAAATCTACAGTGTAGTATAAACTATGGAGTCCTCATCAAGAACACTAAAAGATAATTCAACAACCAAGTCACACGTTTGTTTATATGAAATATAATCCTAAAACATAAATCACTTATATCCATTGAAAGTTTTGCCTCTGCCCATGTTCACCATCAGTCAAGATAATGATCAATGTTTTCAGCTGCATTGACCACTATAATAAATAAACAAGTTACACAATTGGCTAGATTTGGCACCTGACCAGGCTCCATTAGTGGGAGGCTGCAGAGCAGAGAGAACACTGATATGAACTTTCTGTAGTGAAAGAGAAAATAAATAGACCATTTCTGGGGCTTGGTGGCCTAGAGGGGAACTGTGATGTCCCCTGTTCACTTCTAGCCTGAGACTTTTATTGCATGTCTCTCTCCGTCTTTCTCTAGCATAATTTCTCTTCTGTATCTTTCTAATAAAAGGTATAAAATGCCCTAAAAGTTCTGTAATGAAGGGGGGGGGGAGTCAACACACTGAGGTGCAGTGCTACAGAGGATTCCCTCGAGTGTGGACTGTTAAGGGAACATAAAATACTCAAATATTTGATCCACACACTATCTCGCTTTTGGGTATGATAACAGGGCAGGTGCTTCCAATAGTGGGGACCATTTTTAGTAGGGATGTTTTCCAAGTGATAAAAATGCCCCCTGGTTGTTTTATCACCTTGATGGCCAAAATGTGTGGCAGGTTGTAATTCTACCAATGCATTTTTGCATTCACTGATAAAATATATTTCAAATAAAACGACAAAATAAATATGTTACAAGAGTAGGGACTGAGCTGAATAATCAGCTATGATATACTAAAGCTGAGGAAAAGCTGGTGCAGAGCCAATGTTACAAAAACAATATTCCTCATCCCACCTGTTCATACTTCTCCAGCTCCGTATGGTAAATTTGTCGGATTTGAGACAGCTTGGCCCGGTAGTCGGAGTGTTCTGCTGAGTTGTCGGCACCAACGCCACCAGTGGCCGCTGCGGCAGCTGCTGCAGCTGCCGACCCGCCACCTTTTTCCGGCCCGGCCACACCCTCCGCCAGCAGCATGTTGTCCAGTCGCATCAGCTGGGGATCTGGAGGCTCCTCCTCTTGGGCGCCGCGGATACTGAGCACTGTGGAGGAGAGGAGGAGAAGGACATCAATATAATGGTACTCAACAGTCTAATTTGTGTCCTTAATGATTCACTTTTAAGGTGAACAAAGTGACTGAATAACAAGGCAGAGGAATTTAACAATGACTGAAAGAGAGTCTTAACTATTTCTTCAGCTCCAGCCTGAAATATGGCCGTTGCTTTAATAGTTCAAGTCTGCGCCATAAAAACCTGCAGCCTCACAGAGGCTGGCAGCTACGGAGGACCATAAAACTATCATTTCATCGATTTTGACTATCATTTCATGTGAAAAAAATTAACACAGCCTTCCACCACAGTTCATCTTTCATTGCTTCCCTTATGCTCAGACTATGTTTAGTTTCTGGCTGATGGCTTTATTATCTTGTCAGATGTTGTCTACAAAGCAAACCAAACTAATGACACAAAGTGTAACACAGTATGTTAATGCAAAGATACGTTGTTTTAAATGAATGAGTCATGGAGATTAAAGAATTTGAACTAAATCAAACAGTTCCGCTACATGAAGAAGCACAAATTGGAAATATGATGACTACTTATATAAAAATAGCAAAGAATAGAAAAGCTTAAAAGGTTCTGAATTCACTGTCATTGGATTTTTAATCATTTGGATTATGTATTTTAACACTCATGACATTAGTAAAACACTGAGCATTAATATTTTTTTCTCATCTCAGCATCAGGCTGGGTGTGCAGGATTTTGGATTGTCTCTCCACATATCTTACAAATAACAACTGAATCAGCGTTCTGCTGCCACACCTGTGGTCCCAGGGCAGCATTCACAGTGTTGTAATCCTAAATTTAACAGGACTAAGGATGTTTTTACAACTGATACTAAGGTGTGTTTGCACACTTGTTTGGGGATTTGAACCTACACTGAGTCTTCACACACCTACATGGGATCTGCTCCCATGGTGTAAAGAGTGGAGTGTAAACACAACACAGACAGGCCTGCTGAGATGGACATGCACAAACAAAGTACACACAAAACCAGACTCATCCGTGCACATGTTCACACACATATTTTGAGAAATATGTGACACAGCCTCAGCTCATGCCAAAACTATACACTGCTGACACTTTCAATAATACTTTTTTTTTTAAAACTATATTCTAGTGTATAAAACATACAGATGTTTCACCATGATTTTTTATCTAGGATCAGCTGTACTGCCCTGCCTCTTTCTGCCACCAGAAGGCTCCCTCGGTAAAGCAGCAGAGCGTCCTGCTTTTCTCAGAGGTGCTGAAAACAGCCGACCAGGTGCAGCCCTCCATTCCATCCACTGTCTTCAAGGACAAAGACAAAGCTCACACTGCCACCACATTTTTCATACACGTTTTAATCTACGCGTCTATCAAAATGTTTCAGGAGGACGATCTAATAGTGCATACTGTGTGTGTCTCTTTCATGATGACTGTAGACAGTGAGGGTAAATGACAGGTTGTGTGACAGAGCAGTAAAGCCATATTGCAGCCCCACAGTCTCCGGTCACGGCGACGGCTCTTTTGTAATGAGGATGTAAGGTTGAGTCGCCTTGTGACCTTTCTGGTGAGCAGGGGGTCCAGATGGATTCCTGGGGCAGCGTGGGGAGCTTGTCTACCCTAGTCCTCCTCTTTTCAACCCCACCACCCCCCACCCCCCACCCCATCCCTTTTCCTTTCCTCTCTTTTTCTCCTCCTGCAATAACATCATCCATTCCCATCAGCACCAACACGTGAGCAAGCTCAGCTCAAGAGGCAAATGTCAATGGCTATCAGACGGCTGGAAAAGGTCAGGAGTTCAGATGGGGAGCAGATGCATGTGCATGTGTGTGTGTGTATGTGTGTGTGTATGTGTGTGTGGGCGCATGTGCACATGTGCAGGTAGATGAATATGTGGATATTTGTCATGTGAATCACACCAGCGGGAAATTATAACACTCACCAATTTGATACTGACAAAATAGTGGCACATCCCAACCAGAGGGGGAATCTAATGAGCCTAAGAGTGATTTATTCATTCCCTCCAAGTCCCCGAGTGCACAACTAAAAGCATGAAATGGATTAAATAAATACAATTAATAAGGAAAATCAAACAAATTCACTGTGCTGTGGCATAATTACCCTAACCACAGCCATCAGCTTTATTTATTTCTGTTCAGTAATAGCAATGAAATTGATTAGACCTCAATGCCAGTCGTTGTGAACTCTGCAACCATGGACTATACATTAACATAATCACCTGACAGAGGGAAGTGCCCTCTATTACAATACATCACATGCTCCCAACACTTGTACAATAACACCAAAAACCTTTTATACACACTTTCTAGTCTATTGCTGCAACAAAGGCATGGAGTCCATACTGCTCTGCGATTCTCTTATTCCATGGACAGTCACAGATTAGTATCTATAAAAGGAAGATGGCCATCATCTCATCTTGATCATTACCGACAGACTTAATTGAACAATGAGAGGACACAATTCCCCTCTCTGTCGCTTCCTCCCTCCCTCCCTCCCTCCCTCCCTCCCTCCTTCCTCCTCTCTTCTTCTTTCCTTCCCTTTGTGCACACTCTTGTATAATTCCTTCCCTGAGATGTGGGGCACTAAACCCAAAAAGGCAAGGCATAAAAAATGAATACGTATCATAAACAATCCTTGAGCCGTTTCCTGAATAATAAATGGGATTCTAAGAATAAGCCTTTGTTTTGGTTATTGACAAAATTAATTTCTGCTGTTTTACTTCCTTAAGAGCTGGCTCATGCCCATCGCCACACTGCCTGCTGTTTGCAGACAACTGCAGTGTAAATAAACACGACGATTAAGCCACCCACTCGTACAGGGAGAATCAAGGTGCGCACACACAAACACACAGCACAAACATGCACTTTGTGCACAAATGTAAGCACTCATATAGGCGCACACACACAGGAAAAATACACAGCTATGCATATTGGCAGACTACCCTGAGCACCCAGCCTGGCGCCCTGCGAGTGCTTTTAAATGAAAACATGTTTAATTAATGATGTTGAAGTATTCTGTCACAATTAGGAAGATTTACGGTCAAACAAGGCAGCAGCGATGTCCCTGACAGCCATGATGAAAGTTTACCCTTCTTGCCTCTGACTGGCAGCTAGCAGCCAACACTGGACTGGATCCATTTCCCATCAATACAGTAATGCAATACACTCCGCAGCACTGTGGTGTATATATATGTGTTTGTGTGTGCGTGCATGCGCGTGTCCTTTCTTGCCTTGCTCTTGTCCACATCACATGACCCCAGAGAGGGCCTGGCAGTGGTTGTGCTCTCTATTGATTGTGTGGGCACACGTCATCTAGGGTTTCAGCAGTTAATAAATCAGGCCTGCTCCTGACACAACCATGGATGTGTGTATACATCTATGTGTGTGTCTATGTGTGTGTGTGTGTGTGTGTGTGTGTGGGCCTGTCACAGACCAGTCAGCAGGAGTGAAAGCGACAGCCACATGATAATGTAACATCACCACCATTCATCCCTGCCACACAGCATTCTGAGACAAAACAACAACAACCAGGAACCTGAAAAAAGCAGCGTGATTTACAGCAGACATGACAAGTATCACTAATACAAATCCTCCCCTCCCCGCTCCTTCAAGGAGTTCAGCATCCAGCTCTCATCTGCATTTGATACAAGCCCAATAAAGCAGTCTTCATAAGACGCAGCACTGTTCCATATTTCACACTGACCCACACGGTAGGGGTAAACTACAGTACTAAGCAATGCTATCATCATTACTGAGAGCACTAAATGAATATTATGTTGCGTTATATCCAGTTTACTGTATATGTGCTCATTTCTACTGAATTAAATCAGGGCTTCAATAAAGAGAATACAATCATTATGAAATTTGTAATTGGAGATCTCTATAAAGTCTATACTGTCAAAATAATTGCTATATTCTAAATATTGTGTTATTCTAAAAAGTAAAATGGTCTTTACTGTTTATTTTAAATTAACTGTAGCTGAAAGCTGAATTTGTGGTCAATCCATGAACTCTTGGAGGCCTAAATTATTCTCTCAAGCACCAGATAATGAAAAGCTGTTAAAGCAGTACTCAACCACATTACCAACAGCCCAACTCGGTCAGCGGCAGTTCAGTCAGAGGCAGGTTTTTATGCTAGTAGCAGCTAACACAGCAGCAGAGATGAGGATTGATTCTGCAGAGGTCTGGTAAATTCACTTCTTTGAAACTTCACACCCCCTCATTTATTTATTTTTTTCATTTTCAAACTTGTAGTCTTCGGCACCAACCACCACTGACATAAGTGACATCACTTGAGTCAATTTATCAGATTTTACTCAGCTCCCTTTTGGGCTTCATGCAACTTTTTTCACACATGCAGTAGTACTCCCCAACACCTGTGAACACACACCGAAGTATTAAATTGGTTGAATTTACCCTTCAAATGTTTTCCAGACACAAGCAGCCAAACAAGAACTTTATCTAAATAAAATAAAGCCTAAAAGTGGCTAAAGATGGGATTTAACAATTTCTTAATTTGCGTATGTAAACACACACTGAGGTGGAGTGAGCTTTGAAATTAAAACATGTCACATAACTCTCTAGTACAAGATGTAATCCAGAAACTGTCTGTTCAAAAAGAATGAGGCCTCAGTTAATGATTATTTCCATATTGATTAATAACTAATTGTCTATATTATATTGTTTGTTTGTTTTTTTTTGTTTTTTTTTTGCAAATACCAGTCCCAAACCTGAAAATATTCAATTTATTATCACATAAGACAATGAAAAGCAGTCAGTTGGGAAGTTGGAGCAAGGTCATGTTTGCTTTAAAAAATAACAATCAATTAACTAGTTATTTGAGCTCTTAAGAGGAATATGAATCTTCCAGCTTCCGATGTTTTCAATTTTCAATAGTGTTAGGGACATATTTTGGTTGAAACCAAAAAAGTACTGAGATTCAAAACTCAGCCCTACCAAAGAAGCAATCATCATAATGC